GTACTCGCTGGCCTGCCGGACGTGACTGCGCGCACACCATGTGCGGTAGGCATCACGGTCGGCATTTCGCCGGCCGTCCGGCTACTTTCTTCGGCAGTCCACATATGACTGATTATGTTTTAACTTAAATAACATAATTATGCAATAAACGTTCGGGACTTGCCGGTTAAAAACTGAAGTTACTCGGAGGGGCTTATATAGCACCTCCGAAGTCATTTTGCTAGAATACTTGGACCGAACAATATGACATCAACATGATCTCCTTACAATGAACTAAAATACATAAAAAGAGGGTAATTAAGAATGTAACCTTTAATCTGGACGAGGATTGCATGACGATGTGCGTGTGTGTTTGGTGCTCCGCCTATGTCCTTATACTTCCCTTTTGCTTCGGCAATACTTAGATATTTTAGTGTGATTTTTCTAAATATTTTCCTCACTATTTTCCCTCTTTTAGTATACTGAAGTTGGCGTACGATTTGTGCATGAAAATGCTTGGAAAGGACGAACTAGCTCGGTTATTTATTGTTGGTAAAAGCCGTAGGTGAAAGTGGGTCAAAGGAGGTGAAAGATGACCACACTTCCCTTGGTTACAAGTGTCCAAAACGTGGCTGCAATGTAGGTGAGTTTGGCTTAGTCATTGCCGAGGTGGCGGCCATGCACGGGCTTAGTCACCAGTCGTGCGTCCGTGGCGTGCCGTGTGTGCAAGCTACTAGGTGAATCATCACCCCACTTGCACAGACAACGGTTATCCTTACATTTTCCCTCATGACAACATTAAGGTGGAAGTTAGGTCTGATCATGTCACTAAGCGTCGCCTAAGTGCGTGCTTAGCGAGTACTTAACGCGCGCGCTAATGCGCTGCGCGGTGCTGCGCACGATGCGCGTTCATGTGCGTGGCTGAGTGCACGGCATGCGTGCATGAATGCGTGTACATGCATATACTTCGTGTACCTTGCGTTCTTTCTCGACTTAAATTCCGAACATGCTAAACTATTAATAATTAATCCCGATTAGTAATTTCCGTTTATAAAATAAACGGTTCGGAAATTAACTATCGAATTAACTCGGTTAATAATTAACCGGATAAACTTTTCGACCTAACGTCGAACTTATTTGCTGAAAATGAACGGAATCGATAAAAGATAATACATCACTTATATTTAACAAAGAGTTGGGTTATTACAATCTATCCTCCTTAAAATATTTCCGTCCTCGGAAATATAAAAGAAAACATATATACATGAAAATATACATATGAGAACTGAAAGTCAGGAAAACGAGCGCGAATATCAGCCTCCTGCTCCCAAGTAGCTCCGTGGAGATCCCATTGAATACGTACGAGGGGTACACTACGCTTCCGGAGCCGTCGAACCTGTCGGTCCAACACAGCTACTGGTCGCTCCTCGTAAGATAAGTCTGGATGAATTTCAATATAAGTATGAGGAATAACATGATCGGGGTCGCACACGTACTTACGTAACATAGACACATGAAAAACATTGTGCACACTGGATAACTCGGGAGGTAAGGCTAAACGATACGCAACATCGCCCACTCGCTCGAGTACTTCGAACGGGCCAATAAACCGAGGGTGTAACTTTCCTCTCTTCCCGAATCAAATAACTCCGCGAAATGGACTAACTCTGAGAAAAGCATGCTCGCCAACCCCGAACTGAATCTCTCGTCGATGATGATCGGCGGTTGATTTCATCCTGCTCTGAGCTGTTCTGAGTCTCTGCCGGATCAACTCGACTTGCTCAGTTGTCTCCTCGATCAGTTTCGGACCGAGTACTCGACGTTCTCTGACGTCGTCCCAATAAAGAGGGGAACGACATTTACGACCGTATAGTGCCTCATAAGGAGCCATCTGAATAGAAGAATGATAACAGTTGTTGTACGCAAACTCGACGTACGGCAATAAAGACTCCCATTTAGCACCCCTGTCAACAGTCAAAGCACGCAACATATCCTCTAATGTCTGTATAGTCCGCTCCGTCTGTCCATCAGTCTAGGGATGGTAGGCTGAACTGAAAGCTAGCTTCGTACCCATTGCCTTGTGTAAACTCTTCCAGAATCTACTGGTGAATCTGGGGTCTCTGTCTGACACAACAGTAACAGGTACTCCATGGAGTCGAACGATCCCACGGATATAAATCTCAGCCAACCAATCCAAAGACATGTTCATCGATAATGACAAGAAGTGGGCAACCTTCGTCAATCTGTCGACCACGACCCAGATAGCGTCGTGATGTTCAGACGACCTCGGCAACCCTGTAACAAAATCCATCGCGACCTTCTCCCACTTCCATCTCGGAATCGGCAGTGGTCGTAGAAGGCCTATCGGACTCTTATGCTCGGCTTTGACTTGTTGACAGGTCAAACATCTTCTTACAAAGTCGGCAACATCTTTCTTCAATCCTTTCCACCAAAACGACCTTTTCAGGTCATGGTACATCTTTGTGCTTCCTGGATGGGCTAGATAGGGTGCGGTATGAGCCTCAGATAAAATCTCTTTCCTCAATACTTCGACTTTCGGCACCACAATCCTGCCACGAAACTCCAAGGCCCCATCAGTGCCTCGGTGAAAACCCTCGACGCCTTCGGCACGAACCTTGGCATTAATTGTACGAACGAACTCATCTGAAACCTGCTCTTGCCGGATTTTCTCCCTCAGCGTCGGTTGAACCTGCATGGAATTCACACTCCCTAAACTGGCTGTGGGAAGTGTATCAACTAGCTGGATCTGCATCCGGGCAAATTCATGAATCAACTGACTCTGCTGAGTAACAACGTACGTCAAATCACCCTTCACCTTGCGGCTTAGGGAATCAGCAACAACATTTGCCTTTCCCGGATGATACTGGATCGTACAATCGTAATCCTTGACGAGCTCTAACCAGCGGCGCTGCCTCATATTGAGCTCTTTTTGAGTAAAGATATACTGCAAGCTCTTATGATCAGTAAAGATTTCACATTGACCGCCGTATAGATAGTGTCGCCAAATCTTGAGGGCATGAACAACTGCTGCCAACTCCAAGTCGTGCGTCGGATAGTTCTGTTCATGTATTTTAAGCTGGCGTGACGCATAAGCAACGAACTGGCCGTCTTGCATAAGTACACATCCCAAACCCTGCCTCGAAGCATCACTATAGATGGTGAAGCTCCGAGAAGGATCGAATATAGTCAACACCGGTGCCATCGTAAGCCTTCTTTTCAGGTCCTAAAAACTCGACTCACAACGGTCTGTCCACTCAAACTTTATAGACTTCCTCGTCAGCTGAGACAAAGGGAGTGCAATCTTCGAGAACCCCTCGATAAATCGACGATAATAACCTGCAAGACCGAGGAAACTACGAACCTCGGACGGATTCTTTAGTGCTGACCAATTCTAGACTGCAGCTATTTTGGAAGGATCAACTTCAATACCTGCTGAAGTGATAATGTGGCCAAGAAAAGCCACTCGCTGAAGCCAAAATTCGCACTTGGAGAACTTTGCATATTAATTTTCTCGTCTAAGGGTCGAAAGAACGGCCCTCAGGTGCTCCTCGTGCTCCTCCTGGCTCTTGGAATAAATAAGAATATCATCGATAAAAACAATAACGAACTGGTCGAGAAAAGGATGAAATGCACGGTTCATCAAGTCCATGAATACTGCCGGGGCATTATTGAGGCCAAACGGCATAACCACGAACTCGAAGTTACCGTATCTCGTACGAAAAGTTGTCTTGGGTATGTCTGACTCCTTG